TGATTGCATCATATTCCAATGGCAGAGAAATAGGCAGAGTAATTCATCCCCTGCCTCCCAGAACTGGTGGTCACCTCAGACTTCACTTGTTTCTGGTTAATTCATGGCTTTGCTTGGGAAAATTAAGCCCCCAGTCCCTCTTCTCAGAGCAGAATGCAAACATTCAAGACATACACATCTACCCATAGTACATCATCTCCTAGGCTTTAAATAGTCATACACTGTCACCCCCATCAATGGGTGTCTGCTTTCCAGATTGACCAAGGGGTTGGGAGCCAGGAACTCTTGAGTTCTAATTCTCACTGTTTGGCCCTGGGCAAGTGACAGTCTGTCTCAGTACAAGGATACCTCCACCAGCCCTGCAAGGGGAACTATGAGAAAGCGTAACTGCAAAGTGAGAGTTTTACTCTCAATGACTATTCTCAACATGGATGTCTAGACATGGATTGTGACAGTGAATTGTATTGTCTAGAGACCACCAGACATTCTTCTTTGAAAACAGAATATACCTTTTATAGTATGATGCAACCTTAAATCAGTGGAATTGGAGTTATACCCAGACACTTGCACATTTTGCAACAAATAATGAATTTGCAACCTGCCCTTCTGTTCTTAAGATCCACTTCTGGATTATAGTGAATTATGTCAATCCCACGAGAGAAAGCAAGGGATTTAGAAAATTTTCACCCTGGTTTACATGACCAGCAAAGGATCAATTTACACAGAAGTTGGAGAAACATTTAGGAGCACGGTTGAGAAGGACAGGCAAGACTACCAGCCCCATAATAGTCACAAACTGATACTGCACTTGTTCTTTAACATCATTAGTATCCAAAACGCCACAAAGAGGGTAGGGTGATTGGAGCATTGATTCTACACTGGTGAAGAACCAAGACACTGCTATTTTGACTGTAAGCACTATGGGGCAGGGATGGTCTTTTTTATGGCTGTGTAGAGCACCTAGCCCAGTGCGGTCCTGGTCCATGACTATGGCTTCTAGATGGTACCACAATATGAATAGCTAATAATCAGCCAATAATTGCGATAGCTTTGCATCAGGACAGCAAACCGGAACACAAAATCTCTATTGGAGGCAGGCACACTTAACAAAACAAAAAACACACAATGTTTTGCTGAACCTGTTCTTAGTCCAATGACAATGAAACATGAAAGGAGAGGTTTGTGCAAGGGAGAGGTGGTATCACAAACCTGTTCCACAGTACTTGTCCCTCTGCATATTTTCTACTGTTTTGGTTCTAGGTGAGGCAGCAAAGAAGAACAATTTGCAGAGGAGACTGAACTAGGGCTGGCCGGAAAACAAGAATTCTCTTTCATGAAAAAGCTTTGAGACTGACATTTGAACACCAGACTTTTTTTGTGAGAAACACCCCACAATAGCCAATGATTCAAGACTTGAACCTGGGTCTTCCACATCCTATGGGGGTGGCCTAATCCCTGGGCTGTTGGCTACTCTGGGGTGTGGGTTTGTGTTTCCCCCTCCAGAAATTCCGACCTGGACCTGAGAAACCTTCCTATGGAAAATTGTCAAAATAAGGTTTCAATGTTTTATTAAAAGTAATAAAATAAAAATCAGCATTTTCTAACAAAAACAATTTAAAAAATCCCCAGCCAGCTCTATTTAGGGCCCATGATTCTTTGCATGAATGTACAGACCTTTGCCGCCGGTGGTGTCCTTCCAGAGCAGAGTTCTCCATTGCCTCAGAGTGAATTATATTAGGCGGAGATAAGCTGCTCCACATGGAAATCTGACTGTAAAGGGGGAAGGAAGGGTACAGATGGTTAGCAGGAGCAAGTTAAGGTAGTCCATTTATGAGCAGTAGCTGTCTCGTCATGTCACAATTTCTAACCAGCCTTTAATCAGAAGGGCTGGAGTGGTGCTCCTGCAGTCAGCAGTGCTCACTGGTACCAGCTCTATTTCCTCAATAAAACACAGCGAGAGGGAGGGGAAGAGACTAATCATTTCAAAACAACTACTGACTGTTCCATGCAGCTGAAACAAAGCACAAGGGAAAGAGGAAGTGAAGTACATAGCACACAATGCAGCAGTCTAGAATTCTTTTGGAGGAACAACTGTTCTCCCATTCCCTCCAGCAGATTTCAAGTATCATTGCTACACTGGAACCTGCATGCTTTTATTGCTGTATTTGCCTCCCCAGTCAGAAGGGCCCGCACCATTCAAGCATGGTTAACTCTCCCAAACAGACCTTGACAAAGGTATAAGCCAAGGGAAAAAGCTCAGTCTACGCAAAGTAAGGAATTTGGGTTGGCCTTGAGGTCATCTGCCTACATTCTATTGATTTCCCCTTATTAGTGGATTGTCTTCTCACCTTTAATTTTCTTCAGGCATCTGATAAGTGTGGAACTCGCTTGTGGCTGAGCGAACAGGCAACATCCCTGAGGACTGCAACATCATTCCACGGGCGGACACTGGATGTAGAAAACTACCTGCTACCCTCAAGGCTGCAACAATAACTTGTACTAGGGTCCCATACATTCCCCCAAAGCAGGTTCTTACCTGAAAGCATAGTGCCAGTTGCTACTACTCTTAAAAACAGTCAATCCAATCCCTGATATAAGACAGGGATGACCACATGGAGTCAATATCAGATCTCTAAAACTTTGAAGTTGCCGCATTATTAGATAAAAATCAAGACTTCAGTCTGGAGCATAATTCAAACGTAGCTGGCAGTTTAGACTCCTTGCCAGTCCAGTAAGGCTGGTGAAGAGTACTGTGTCCTTTAGACAACAGCACACAAGCATGGAAGCTAATAAAGGCTTCTCCAGCAAGCTGGAGAAACAATACGCATGTTGGATCAACTGCTAGGGATCAGAAACGTAGGTGAGTAGCTCTGTTGCAACATTGGCTCTTTTCAGCTGTAGGTGAAATGTGACAGGGTTCTCTGCGTTCTTAGAGAGCAGAAGTAAAGTCGTCAAACCTGCTGGCAACTGTTCTCCACAAAAAAATCCTCTTCCTTCCTTTTAAACAAACTGAGAAATTAGTTTGGCCTGGACTTCTGGGTGCAAGAATGAACTTCAGGGGTAAATGAAACGTAACTAACTTCTACAACCCATCCCTTGGGCAATAGAAGACAAAACAGTCTCAACACATTATTCAACACAACCAGTGACCATGTGAGATCAGGCCCCAGCAAATAGGAGGACCTGAATAGGAAGCAGGGCAATAAGTGTTTTCATACATGGAATGCTCACCTGTCAAATGATGCCCTGTTCAAGAGGCTCTGCTCTTTGCCACTAGCATATTCAGATAGGGATTTTCCATACCACATCAGAACAAAGGCCCACCTAGCCTCATCTCACCTCCAAGACTGACCATTAAAAGAGGCTTCAAGGAAAGGTGGAACACTCCTGTAACAAGACAATACCATAATCTGTACAGGGGGAACCCAGGCAGTTACAGTAGCTATTATTCATGCCTAGTTTTTTTTGTTTTTTTTAAATTGTAAGGAGCTTTGTCTCAGTGAATTATGAAGAGCTCCCCAGGTTAATAATTCTGTAAAAAACCTTACTTTTAACCACTTTTAAAAATTTACCTTAAATTCAGCAATATTCCCCTTGCTATTGTGTTATGAGAAAAGGTAAAATTAAACCTCCTAAATGAGCTTCTCTAGGCTATCCATCCATATGCTCCTGTGTCACTTCTTATCCCTGTCTTCTCTAAGGATTCCTAAAGCTTTTAAATCTCTTTATAGATGCTGTTCCAGAGCTATAATGATTTTCATTGGCCTCTTCTGGAGCTTTCCATTATTGCTGGATCCCTTTTGAGACAGGGTGATTAGAGATGAAGATAGCCTCCAATGGGCAGATGTACCATTAAGATTTTTATAAATAAAATAGCATCAATTAGTCTTCATCCCTTTATTATAACCCAGCATTTTGTTCCTCTTGACTGATCAGTAGTTTTCATTTCACCCTTTATATTATACATTTCAGCAGTTGCTTTAAGCAAATAGGTTCTTCCAGCCAACAAATAGATGGACAAGGAAAAATGTGTGTAGAATTAAGGTTCCTATGTTAACCTTTAAAATCTTTACATTTAACAACATTTTGCATGTGAAGTGTATTCTTCCTCACTAACAATTATACTGAAATTGTGTCTGGGAACTAGCTTGTACGATATCACTCAATTATTGCAAAGGTACTAAATGCTGCAAAGTGAACTCTGCAGTCTAAATAAGAGCAATTCAACGAACAGCTGTGTTTTGAGCATAGAACAAGTTCATCACTAGGGCCAGCAGCTAGTTCGTAAAACATTAAGCTTTGCTCTGATCACAAGAGCCCTGTACTATCTGATAAGAGAGCTGAAGGAAAGGTTCACATACCAGGGTCATAAATATCAGAACTGAATTCAGCTTTTTGCCTCTGGGTGTGCAAGCATTGTGAAGGTTTGGCAATTGACCACAGCTGACCAACCTACTCCTTTTACTCATTGCTGAGGCTTTTGGCCATTCCTTGCAGATTCTATTAGTAGATGCTTCAGATCCTCGATCAAAGACTGCCACACTAGTTTCCTTACGACCAATACTGTCAGACCTTAAGGCAGCAGTTCCAAATCCAGTCTTTGTGCTAGGAACTTCAATAAATTTAACACAATCTGGTTTTCATCTTGACAGCAATTACTAACTACTCAAGGGAAAGCAGTACATATTTTTACTATCTTTGGATATTTTCCTAGTGCTTCATCAGTTCCTTCTGCGTCATTCAAAAATGCAAAGAGCAACACACTGCTTATAAATCTAGGATCTATTTTTTTTTTTTAATATGAACGCATTAAGAAGGAAAAGAACAAAGTTATATCTGATAATGGTGCACACTTGAGTCTTCATTGATTGTTCTTGATTCTCCAGTCACAGGATTGAATAGCCTCAAAGATGATAGCGTGAGATTGATCTTCTGAAAACTCTTTAGGTAACGAATGCTCAGTGTTTCCTCTGCTTCATATAAACTACATGCCACAGAAATCAGGAATAAAACTTTATTGTTTTAGGATTTCTTGTGTGTCCAAACTAATCAGTTGTGTGTCACAGGATGTTTAAAAAAGAGGCTAACTACCTTTAACCATTTGTAACAGCAACCAATCAGAAACTGGCTTCAACCTAAGTTTCACTGGAATGAGGCCAGAGCCCCATAAACTTGGGGCAGGAGAAGGCGAACAAACAGAAACAGTTTGCATTCCAAACAGAAAAATAATTCTCAAATTGATATAATGTAAAATCTGAAAAAGGAGAGAAGTTCAGAGCAAAGTACAGTCACAGAAAAACACCATGAGGCAAGTTGCCAGAAAAGGGCTGTGTCAGTGTATCACATGACTATGTCTTCATTCTAAATTAAACAAACAGGCTTTATGGAGAACTGACAGAAATCAGTGTTCCACAGACCACAGACCACAACTGTGTTTGAAATTTCATCATTTGATAAATTAAAAAATATTCTTTAACATCCAGCTTTTCTTCAGCTTAAGTTTGATTTCTTCTATAAAATCCCCCTTCCAGGTACATACTAAATGAAGATTCAGAATATCAAGAAACCCACTTGATTTTCATGTTGTAAAATATACAGAGAATAGGGTCAGTTTCCTTTTCCCTCCCACCACTCCCTTGACCTCTAGGCATAGGAATCCTCCTGCAAGAAATTGCCTTGTACTTTAAGAATTAATGAATCAGATCAACTTGGAATACCAAGTCTATGTTAGGTTTAAACACAATTGGAAAATCTTATATTAATTCCATATTGCTCTCCAATCTCATGAAGAGAAGCATCTTTAATGGAATATTTCCAAAACTGCACAATCCAGATCTGCATAAACCAGTTTTTCTTGTTTCCAGCCTGTGGACTTCCAAGCCCTCATGCTGAAACAATGCAGCAGTGAGAGGCAGTATGAAAACCAAGACAACTTGTAGGCTATCAAACTGCTACATCTCAGCATCCAACTACAGTAAACTTCAGTGAAGACCCAAACATGGCTTATGGAAAAGTTTCAAATTTTATTTAGGAACAGTTCTGCCCTTTTTTTTTTTAAATTAAAGACAGCAATATGAAATTACCTGCATTTCAAAAGCATCCATCACCATAGCATCTGGGCAATCTTACAAAAACGTAGCCTAGTACAAGAGAGGATCTTGTTGCTTAAAAATCCACTGGGCTCCTGTTACTTATTCCTCATCTTAAATTATTTCCATAACAATCAAATGCAATAGCAAAGTCAGAAGACTGAAGATGAGAAATAAGTAGGAGATCAACTCCAGACAAAGATCATCTTGTTTTCAGGCAAGCCTGCTTAAGTGAGAAGAAAGGAAATGAGCGTGTAGGATAAATAAACAGACTGTCAGTTTTCCATGAAGACTGAGAGCAGCTCCTTTTAAAACCACCCATGAGCAACTAAGTTCCCAAGAACAGTCTTTTCGGAATGGGTTCTATACTGTAGTTCGGCATTTACGCAGATGTCCCAATGAGGAAGGATTACACAGATGCTGCAATGTGTAAATTCAGACAAGACTCCACCACAGATTAGGTAATCATTAACATTTATTAAAGTATTTACCACCCCTGCTCTTAGCACAAGAGTTTCAGCTCTCGTTTTTGAATGCAACATTTTTTAAAAATAAAGACAGATTTCTCTTTACATAACTATATATATTTTTAAGTCAGGGTGTGGTAGGTGGCACACTAGCAGGAATCCAGTCTCCCTAGCTAGTGTTTCATACGCTTTGCCTAGGCAGACCCCTTTGTGAATTCTGGTTCCTCAACACCTGCCTTCTCCTCCCACCCCCAAAGAATGTTCTGATCAGAGATTCAAATTATAACGTCAACCATCGATGAACATCAAGATACGTCTATGCCTGGTCGATTGTGTGTATTGACCCTTAATGGGGCACTGGTCAAAAAGCAAACTCCAACTTTTCAGAGGACAATGGAATTTCTCTGCTCCAGATGTTATCAGACATTTATATAGTACACATGGTCCTGGGGTAGACTGTTTTCCTCTAATACACTGGGAAAGAACGCACGTGCACAGGCACATACACAACACAGGGAAGATGGTAAGAGTCTCCCCTTATTGGTTTCGGACGCAGATATTTATGTTCTGGACCCTGTTGGAGCTTTCCCACAACAGAATAAGACCTCCTTTGAAGGCCACGAGTTAACTTCTGAATCCAAAGATGCCCTTGATATATCCTGTGAGACCACTCTTCGCTTTCTGCTCCACCTTGTCCTCCAGAGGTGGGAAAGCAACATGGTTGAGGGCCAGGTCAAAGAACAAGGGTTTGCATGGGACTGGCTGGAACCCAGGAGGGAAATGCACCAGGCTGGCTTGTTTGCTGACAAGAGAGGGATCCAGGCAGAATGTCTCAAACCGTTCAGAGAGTAGCTGAAAAGAGATCCAGACGCCAATATTAAAGAAGCTGATGACCTATCATGGCTGGCCCGATGGCCAAGCAGCAGCATCTAGACACGCAGGATGAGCAGTGGCATTGAGCCAGCTGGACTGGCTGCATTCTGGTACTCATTCATCACCACCACAGCTAACTAAGAAAAAGTATGGCAGACTAAAGGCAGCTTTCCCATGCTCTCAGCACAGCAGTGTAAACCCAAAAATGGAGACCCCAGATAAGATGCAGTGGCAGCCTCAGTTTCCCGTACCCAAACCAGCTGAAGTCCTGCAGTTAGCTACCTTGAGGTGACAAGAAACCTTCTCTCCCTCCCACATATACTCACCCATTTAGTGCTCGTGGGGAGATAGAAAACAATCAGCTTAGACCATTCTGTACCCAAAACAGACCATATTACACAACCCATTTTGAACACACTGGTCTTACTTAAGTGTGTGCATCTTAGGTTAGTTACAATTTAAAATAGAAATTGTCAAAATAGACACATGGCTTACTCTTAGGTTAAAATTAAGCTTTACTTTCCCCAATTACTAGAAAATTCTCCTCTTGCAGAAAAAAACTAGTGCTAATGAAATTGCCTCTTTTTCACCCCAGTGCGCAAAGCTATGACTCACCTTGCCATCCTTGACCTGAGAGGGAGACTCAGTCTCATGGGTGTCATTTGCATCTGAAAGATTCACAGAAGTGCCATATGAATATGCAGACAGAGACTATTAGTGTCAAAACTCATAAGATGTGTTCAGAAGTCACCTTTGGGCTCATGCTTTTCTGGATATTCTAGCAGAGAAATTGCTTAGTTTATAAGTCAAAAGAGGTCATGTTTACAAGCACCCCACCTTTCCTGTTTCTAAAGTGGCACAGAAAGGATCTCCCAGTCCCAACAGAAGCATGGCACTGTGGTAGCTATATGGAAAGTCGGTGAGGGCAAAAAGCCCCAAGGTATGTGGCAAGTCCACAACATTAGGGAGGGGGAAAAAACAACAACCACCTCAGATCTATACTTCCCTGGTTCTTCTATCTGCAGGCAAGGCAGATTTAGCAGTTCTTGTCTGCCAGAGATGAGTACAGGCTGGTATAGGTCACAAATTCCCCAATTCAGTTGACACTGAATGATGACTCAGTACAACTGTGTCAAAATAAAATTAGAGCTCTTTCCTCTTTCACTGAGCCCTCCTAGTATCTGCTTGTTAAGCCAGAGCCAGTGAGAAGTAATAGATGAGTCAGGAAATTCAACGCACACCCTACTGCTACGAAGGTGCCATACACTGGATGCTGTTTATCTTTGGCGGCACCTAAGAAGTGCTCATAAGAGTGCTCTTTGCAGGATGGTAAAATGAACAGGAGTCCTTCAGAAGATCTTTCAAACCTCTGATTACAGAATAAACTGGGAAGGCTCTAGTCTGCCAGTGGCAGCCCCAGAGGTACCACACAGAGCATCTAGAAGAGGCTGGAATTGGAAAGGAACAGCTTTCAGAACACACTATAGATTGAGAAAACATGTGGGAAGCAACTTTAGTATTGTAGCATTTACAGATGAAAAAGCCTAAGTGGCTGCAGTATGTGTAAGTGATTGAATTTGAGGGAAGCCAGTTCTGCAGGATTGCATAACTCACCTAATATAGCAGCTGCCTGCAGGGAGTATTTCTCTGCATTCACTTGATTGATCAGCTCCTGGACATCAGGCAACTCCTAGATCATTAAAGAATACCCCTGAGACTCCAATAATTATATAAAGCAAAGTTTTAACAAGAATTGGGATAGAAATGTTTAAAATTTAGACTCCAACTCTGACAAACTAGGAACTTTACAGCAGTGTCAATCAATTCTCAGAGGAGAGATGAACATATATAATAGCCCTTATGGTACCACATAAACCTTATTTCAAGTGAAATCCAGACACATGGACATAAAAGTATCTCAATCTTTTTTGGATAGCTACATAGGTAGGCATCTTGTTACTCTGGTGATAAGCTGTATAAGCAGCAGCTATATTCCTATCTTTACGTATCTAATAGTCATTGATATTTATTGGATACTTTTGTTGCAAAAAATCTAGGTTTCCTCTGCTTCCCCCTCCAATCATACAGGGCAGGAGAGAGGGAGCCATGCCTGCACTAGCATACTTCATCATAAAGCCTGTAGCAAGCACAAGGTGTTATAGAGCTCAAGGCAATATTCTTCCCACCATTTAAAGATCATATTTGAAATATAGTGGCCTACTATTTAGTTACTGGTAGTTAACTGAACTCTCAAGTGTAGAAGAGTTTGGTTCATACCTTCAAGCTGTTCTTATAAGCACCAGCCTGGGCCTGGACTTCACTGGCATACTTCAGGACTCTGTCATACAAAACAAGGGCTTCACTCCACTTTTTCACCAGTACATAGGACTGGGCAATGAAGAAACACCTGGCAGGATGAGGAACAAAGTTAACCCTTACAATGACTAATTGCTTTGCCTTGAGCATATTTCTTGAATATCTAAAAGTATATCGTTTTAAACAGGTTGCCCCAATATTGAGCTATACATCTGGGTCAGGCTGTTCTTCCTCAGCTTGCAGGTGCAGTCCCACTTATTTCACTCTGAGATAGAGTCTCCCACCCTTTCCCCCATCCAGTCCTGTGCAGTTGCACTGGAATGTTAATTATGTGACTTCCCAGAGTTCATGCCCAGTTAGCTCTAGAGAATTCTATTGCTTACTGCCAGCTAACAAAACAGCCTTGCTGTTCCCTCTAGATGGTTACCTATAAGCCTTGTACACAAGTGTCTTCAGTCCTATCTCCTTCTGGAAGTTCTTATCCTCTTCCAGGCCAGGAAGTTGTGGCAGTTCCACCAGATTCTGTACGAAGCATAGAAAAATTGGAATGCAGCAAACGCAAATGAATGCTCTTGTCTGGCATGTGAAAGAAGAAAGCTGCCCTTTTACTGAGTCAGAGTCTAGGCAAATATGATGTTTTCTAGTTATTGATATATTAACTTGAGAACATCATTCAATTAAACTTGTGTAGATTCACCCTAAGGGCAGAGTTTAAGGCTTACTGACACAAATATGCATTAGGACAGTGGGCTCAAACTTTCATAGTAAGAACCACATTGTTAGTTTCTTTTATGCAACATCTCCCTTCCCATTAAACTAACCAAACCAGTGGAACATGCATGTGGTAACTATGGTAACTGCTTACAAGAAATAGTATTAGGGAAGTTTCTAATGTTACTTTTAGCTGTCAATTTAATTTAGCAGTTGGAAATGAGACAGCATCATGGTGATACATGGAAGCTTGGGAACCTCTGCATTAGGGAATGAGATTCAAAAGACTTTAGTCAAATCAGCATTTTGAGATTACATTTAATACACTTTTTAAAATATTCCTAAGCGGTTACTGGGTACCATGGAATTTTATCTGAACCTTTTCAGCCAATCACATTAATTCAGACTGTAGCTTCCTCTTCCTGGTTCGTCCTTTTGGCACCCTACATTTTTAAAAAGTCTCAGTGAGACACCTGAAAGTCAGATTTTTCTGCCCTGGCATTACCTGCAAGATGATGTCATAAAGGCGAATCAGGTCCTGAGGCCGTGCTGTACGCTTGCCATCATCCTCTGACTGTTGCTCCTGCAGCAGTGTCTTCTGCAAAGCTTTTGCCATGCTCTCATTGCGCTTGATGGCTGTTGACAGCTTGATGTAAGTCAGGTAACTAGAAAGTATCATTTACACAAGCTGTGAAATTCTGTCAGAAGTCATTCACAGCTGTTCTTGGATAGAGTTTCCACTACTAGCCACACCGAACCCTCGCTAGAATGTGCGTCTATATAATGCGAATTCTGATAGAACGCGGTCGCGGATCCCAAATTTAGTAACAGTCATTAATTTTCATTGTAACGTGGTCCGTGCTAGAACACGGGACTTGGCATGGATCCCAAATCCCGCATTCTAGCAAGGGTCTGGTGTACAATTTCCAGGTAGACCAAGTTCTGGGGCGGGCGGGGGGGGGGGGGGCGATGAAAATGGGACGTTGGGAAATGAATGAGGGAAAACCAGATTCTACTTGATCCACTAGGTCTAGGTGATTTAAGACTGAGATGGCCCAAGACAAAGGATTAAGATGAGATTCTCAAAATCTACATGGGAATGCAACACTGCCCTAAGCATGCAAACACTCTTACCTATGAAGGTACTGGATATTGGACACTTTCCCAGAATCCACTTCCAGAGAATGTTCCCGTTGCTTCTGCAGAAATTGGAACAAAGGTGTGTGATTTACTTAAACTGGTAACTGGAGAAAAAGGACAAGAAAACCCAAATTTTGAAGGACATCTGGAAACTGAATGGTCTCATACATAAAATACACACTGGATGATGTTGGAGAAGATGTCCAGGCAGAGTTCAATTATGAGGAGGAACTTTGGCCACTGTTGAATTACTCTGCAGCACACCTTGTTATTGATGGACCCAAAAATAACTATGGCCATGGCAGATGTGGGTTTAACTTCACAAGAGACATTAGGAGATGAAATGTTATACACCTCTATCTTTGGAAATTGTAATATGTTTGGTGCTTACCTGGTCTGGTTTCAGCTCTTCGCGAACAGCCTGTATGGCATCTCGACACTCGCTGAGTAAAGACTCAAACAGACGTTCCTTTGTTTCCTCTCCTTCTGCCTGAATACAACAGAAAAGAGACAAAAATAAGTATTTCTCAAAAAACACACATTTTCCTATTAGTGAGGCTGGTACTGTGGAAGAGTTGGTTAATCTTCCTTTATTAAGTCTTTTCAAACTTCTGCCAAGTTATTGCTTTTAAAATGTTGACCACAATATGTAGCTGGATCATGTAACTGTACGTGCTCAAACCGTTGCTAAACAGCAAAACTGTACTACAGAGCAACAACTCATGTCTGCACGTTTCATGAACTTGAGGCGTTGTTTCCCCAATGCTGGTACAGATAGATTCCAGAAAAGGAGAGAGGCATTTACACGGCCTGAAAGTTTCACTGTTGTCTAGCATGGAAGGTGTTTTTGTAAGAATTCCCTCCAGGCAGTACAGTGCAAACCAGTTTTCACGTTTACAAACTACATTAATTCTACACACTTTGAAAGGAGGAATGAAATGTTGGCAGATTTCTGATCAGTAGCACAATGGGTTGCAGAGCTAGAATGCATGTCCATACTGAAGACTGGAGTTCTCTCCCTATTGATACTGTTACTTGAGGACATCAGAAGAAAATGCAAAGAGGAGGATATATGATCACGTATGATGGAGTAAAAATTCAGCAGAGTAAATGTCGACAGCCTGATTTCCCCTTTGCTGCCATTTACACATTGACATTTTTGATGAGTTACATCACAACCACCACCCATCAGAATCAGTTATAGCTGTTTCTTAAATAAGCTTGAAGGGACTCCAGGCACTCACTCCTTCATAGATGGATGGCACCCACCAGCAATCCCACTGCTTGCCAGGCCAAGAAACAAGCCAACCTCCCTGTTCCCCTACATTTAACATTAACTGTCTTACTCCATTTCCCTTGTCTGACCCAAGAGCACGAGAATTGCATTAGACAACACTCCAACATTTGCAATGCATATTTAACATCTCAATATTTACTACATTAACTGTTTAAGAAAAAGCTGCAAAGTAAATTGGAATTTTGGTTTGAAAGGCTATTTATGTGAAAATACTGCTAATCTTCCCCAAGGCATGAAAGATGAGTGCTGATCCAGTATGACAGCCTAGGAGACCCAAGTCTCTTTAAAAGAGGCAACTCAAGTTCAGTGTCTTGTCAGTCTCAACTTTGATGTAATGAAATTACTTCTAGAAATGAGAGTTTAAGTTAATTTTCCACGTCCCAGTCAATCTATAGTCCCTCTGCTACTAAGACACAAACTAGTGACCCAGAGGTGAAAGTCTCCATATCCCCATTAATAATCCTCAACTCACCAGTACCTTCAAAATGCTTAAGTAATTTCTTTTTGTAAGCACAATGAACCAGAAAACATTACAGTAAACACAGTCACAGTCCCAGGCCTGTTTTTCCTTTTTCCCCCATAGAAATAACCCCCAATGTCACAAGATGTGCCAGGTTTCAGAGTAGCAGCCATGTTAGTCTGTATCCGCAAGAAGAACAGGAGGACTTGTGGCACCTTAGAGACGAACAAATTTATTTGAGCATAAGCTTTCGTGAGCATCCGATGAAGTGAGCCGTAGCCCACGAAAGCTTATGCTCAAATGAAGATGTGCTAGGTTAGTATTAATCCTCTAACTGAAATCGTTTCTGCGTTACAGTCTTTTAGAACTACATTTTATCAGCAGCCTGATTTCCAGTAGGTCAGAGCAGGAAGTGGTGGACAACTGTTTAATGCACATTTTCAAAACTCAACCCTTCTAGTTCTTTTGGTTCATTACTAACATCCACACAAATGGCAATGTTTCTTCTCATAACAGGTCAACTACTGAAAGAATGTGTCATCTGATATTTCTGCACTTTCTGGACAGACAAGAATGCTAGGAACAAAAGTGACCCTTTGAATAGTGCCAGAGCATTTCCACAGCATGTACAGTTGAAATAGATATGGTCAGTAAATAATAGACAAGCTATCGTACAGTACAGAAAAATTTGAGTAGGGGTAATTAAAGAAACAAGAGGGGAGAAGATGAGAAATAAGCTGGGCTCCTGTTATCAAAAAATACACAGAATTTAGAGACAGCATTCCAGAGCGCTCCCTACTGTTGTTTGCCTGCCCTTCCCTGACCAAAGCTACAGTAGTGTTAATCCATGACACTCTGAGAGCTCAATTTCTTTGCATTTGTAAGAGTGATAGGAGATAGGAATTTCACTTTCAGTTGGCCTTGTTAACCTATCCTCTCTTGCAGACTGTGTGTGATCCAATCCAGATACATTTTTACCCTCTTTGGTGATAACTTGGGCTTCCTGACATCAAAGGCTAAACTAGCTGAAAAAAATCAACATAATGCTGAAAACAGACATGAGAGGAGGCTGACCTGGTAAGAATGATATGCTCTTATGTAACTTAAAGACCGAAAACAAAACACACTAATCTAAAAACCAAATAAGGAAACCCCAGGTTGTCAGGTCTATCAAAGACAGGGCATCCACCTATGGGTTACATGATTTGGTCACACGTGATGAACAGAGGGTGCACCTTGCTACTAACCAGAGAAGCAGCAAGGTATTTTACACTTCCTTGCCTACCCTATGCCATCGCTCCTGGATCAAGTTAATAAAGCAACAACTTGAAAGTCAGTGCGCTAAAATACTGCATTCATTACCATGGAAACATCAATGGGATCTAGCCTTATTCACTTATTGTGCTTAGTGCAGTTCAGGACACTAATAGAAATCATTCCTGCCTGTAGCAAGAAACTTGAGATAATGCATCATGTCTTAGGAAACCTAGATGGGAGTGCAAGTTTCAATTTGTTTTGTTATTCTGATCTCACTTCTACTACAGCAGTAAGAATTTCTAAAATCAGGTATCCAGGTCATTTTCCTTCCATAATGCTAATCCTTTAATAGCACTTCAATTAAAGCACCTTTAAAACTACAAAGCTCGCATTGCACTAATATGTAAAACCAAGGCAGAAAAGTTCATTTCCTCAACACCATACAAGAAGTCTGTCAGAATCACGGTTAGACCTCAGGAGTTCTTGCCTCTCAGTGCTGTGCCTAAAACACTCAGAAGAAAAGTGAGAATACACTCTTTTGAAACATCCAAGCAGGAGGATCCTGATCTTCACCTAATGGACTGACACATTGTGCTACCAATTCAACAATCACTGAGAAACTCACTTCATTTTCAACTAGATGACTTAAAATAGTAGTGAAAGATCATTTAAAATAAATGCAAAGCCACTCTGATAAAGGAAGGAAAATTGCCTGCAAATGAATTCACAAAAGGCCCACTTGGGTTTAGAAAGGGTAGAATTCCTTTGGGGAAAAAAAAGAGAAATTGTTGCCCTGTATTCCATGTAATACACCACTGTGTAAACGGATTATTCGAGTCTGCTGTAGCAATCTAATTTCCCCTGAATTCAAACTGCAATGAAGCGTAGAGTTTTGAAAGGGTCTAAAAATAATAGCATTATCCCAATGCAGCTTGTTACCTTTTTTTGCTCTGGGACAGAAGTCCTGTTGCACATGCCCAGTAAATATAAAACTCAACTGCTTTTCAGACCGTTTATCCTTCCCACAAAGACTGTCCAAATTATTAGGTTTAACAAACCCATTCAAGAATTTGTTATTTCACCCCTTTATAAAACTGTAGGCCTGCAGACTGCAAACATTTTTAACCCTTTTATTTAAACTTTTTTTTTTAAACAAGATTATTAAGGCAGGACTAATTGCTGTGAATAACCAGAAACATAAGACACACCTGACTGCATTGTTAACTCCACCCACAGGAGCATTTCAACTTCAGTGGACACAAAGAAAGGAAAACAGACATATCAATATCAAGTGCAGACAAAGACAAGGAGGGTACAGCAAGATAAATACTTTCCTTTGGGGGAGGGGGAGGGGGGGAGAGGGAGCGCGCATGTATGCGAGCAAGAGAGAGAATGAACACAAACATTGGCATCTGGCCGGTGCAAGTTTTTGATGAGGGACAGAATTAAATTGCTTGAAACTGACTTGACAAAGCTCTAGTTCTGAAAGTTTAGAAATGCCCAGTCTTAGTTTGTCCTTTTCACTCTATCCATAATGGACTGTCCCTGAAAGTTATTTTCCTTCCACTCATTTACGCAGTGCTCTCCTTCTACTATAGAGATGATCACAGAATCCTTACAAAGAAGTACAGTGACAGAACTAATTCTTACAGCACTTACAAACTCTACACTCTCTTCAATTCAATATGGCTATGGGTTAGCTATGTGCCTTCAAGTCATGGCATCTAGTCTCTATACAGGGGAATTCTCACAAGTGAGAAACACCTGGGTCAAATTTGAATGAAACTGGCTTTTGGAGTTCATATTTTAACATTTTTTCTCTGCTTCCCAAATTAACACAAAGCAGCTAAAAAGTACACGCTCCAAGATTCTGCATTTATTTTACTCACAAGACTAAGGCATAATAGGTTTATGTTCACTTCTGGTCAAACGCAGCTGAAGGAAAATCTAGTCCTTACCTTAAGCAACTGAGTTAAATGCAAACACTGCCCAGCTTAGCAGTCTCTAGATACAAAGGGGCATGGACTTTTAGGTACTGCCACAATACCGTAGAAACTCAATTACAAACACTCCAGGAATGGTGGTTGTTCAGAGTTTGCAACTCTGAACAAAACGTTATGGTTGTTCTTTCAAAAGTTTAAAACTGAACATTGACTTAATACAGCTTTGAAACTTTACTATGCAGAAGAAAAATGCTGCTTTTAACCATCTTAATTTAAACAAAACAAGCACAGTTCCTTTACCTTGTCATTTTTTTTTAAACTTTCCCTTTAATTTTTTAGTAATTTACATTTAATAGTATGGTACTGTATTTGCTTTTTTGGGTCTCTGCTGCTGCCTGATTGTGTACTTCTGGTTCCAAATGAGGTGCGTGGTTGACTAATATGTTCGTAACTCTGGTGTTCGTAACTGAGGTTCTGCTGTACAAACAGGACAACTGAAGAATCTCAGACACTAGCCCCTCTTGGCCGAGTCCAATATTAGAGCTTTGAAAGTCTGGAGACCGCTCCTCTCTGTATCTATAGCAACAAGGATAGTCAAATCTGGTGTCATACCATTGTCCTCCGGAAGCCCATTAGAAGTTTTCAATAACTATTTAAAGAACAAGATGGAATCAAATTCAGCATTCCATTCTGTCACCATCATAAGGAACAGGTCACCCGAAGAGCAGGGGGTAGCTAATCGAAAGACTCCCTAACAACGGTTAACCTGCATTTATCAAAAGAAAGTAAGTGACAGAAAGTTGATGAACACAAAAGCAAAGCTGTACCACCACCTACTGGTCATACTACAATATTACTTTCAGGGAATTCTATTTTGAGACTATCGATTTAACCCATAACTTGAACTTAAGTATTATTTATTCAGAAATCAATATGCTTGCATAAAAATAAAAAAGTTTCAGGTGAAATCAATAAAAATAAACTTCTAGAGGCTGCACAACCAAATTCCATTTCTTAGGTTTCCTTTAAAGCACAGCTATGATTTTCTACCTCCACCCACTGTCTCCATTCTGTAAAAAATAAAGGTTTGAGAGAATTAAATCAGATCTTCGTCTTTTTTAAAAACTCTTAAATTTGAGCTGTGTGCCCACTCCACTAAACTTTTCTTCCTGCTTGTAGAGAAAGCCTTCCCAACTTCTGATGTAGTCAGGAGCAGGCCAAGAAACAAGCAGCAGTGACTGCTAAAGATAGACTGCAGCTTCAAACAGCAGCAGCTCAAGACCTGTAGCCAATGGAAGGCAGGAGCATTATTTCTGAACCCTTTCCCTGAGAAATCTAATAATCAGGGAAAGAAAAAAAATCTCGTCTTCGTTGTGCACAACCAAACAGAATTACTCTGACTGCAAGTGTTTTCTGATAATTAGGCAGTTCCAAAACATCTGGGGCTAAATTTATCCCCGGTGTAACTCCAGGGATAATCTGGCCCCTGCTATTTATCAGGAATCTTTTCCTCCATTCCTTTATAGTGTTCATGTAAGTCAACAGCATGCCACAACTCCCAGATCTGCTCCCCAATACAGCACGGTACTTGTTTTCTCCATGGAAAGGGCTAGTTACATGGCCCTTTTGCTTCTGTCCAATGGCCAGCACAGGTGATATTTAAAGAATCAGGGTTTTTTTGGAAATGGTAGCTAATCTATTTTCATGTATACAGCATCTTTCATCTGAAGATCCTAAAGAGATTTACAAAATATGTTCAGAGATTACTACACTCACCATTTAAATACAGCTATTTCTGGGGTAGAACACGTCAGCATACAGCAACAATACACAAATAAGACAGCATATAGGTTAGAGAAGCAGAAGATATTAGAACACTGGCATAGAATACCTGGAAGTGATCTCTTAGTTACCTGAGCAATGGCCGCTTCATTATCTGCCAGCCCCAATAAAAAGATCCTCACTTTGTCTATCTTCACTGGGACAGTTCTTCCCCTCCATTCCACCTCACTCATGGTAGCTGCCTGCTTTGCTCGAGTCTGGGTGATCAGTGACTGAAAAGTGCAGACAGAGGTAAATGACTAACAATTTAAATGAACACAACTTTTGAATACTTGATTAATAATCCTCACATTTACTTTAAATTAAGGGTTGGAGTATATTTCAGGGTTCCATTACTTTCTGCAGGATCCTTGCTCCCTATACAGTAACGTTGTTCCTCTGTCTGTTGGTTGTACAATGCATGGATATTTAACTTAAAAAGCAAAGCCAAAACGGTGAGCTGGTCACCATGTGTTCCAAATTTTGGAGCATGCAGTAAATTACCTCTAATTTTTCAGCAAGAAGACCCTCTGTGCCACCAGATCTCAGTCTCATCTGCATTAACTCACTGATAGCAGACTGGTCACCTGAGAGAGAGAATTGACAGATTGAGTCTGAGACCCAACTCATTTTCATTTGTCACAGACAGGATTTGGACCCGGGCCTCTAGAACACAAACTAGTGCTTAGGTAATGTTGGGAAGAAGGAAAAAGTTACTTTGTATGAATCTTGCCCAGACTATGTATTTATTCACACTACATAAAACCATAGTGTTGCACAACTCAATATAACTTCCACTTTGATAATCAGGTGCAGAACTGAAGGGCCTTGTCAGTCACATGGATGAGTCTGGAGGGTTTGCTCAGGGCATTATGTATGGACTCATTCCCATGTGTCAACAAGTTTAAGATAAACATTCCAATAACCCTTGCCTCGAAAGCAATCCTTACTTTAAGTATTTGGTCCCCTACTTTACTTACCAATATTATAGGCACAATAGCGAATGTTGGGTGAAATCTCCTCCACGCGCTGATTATATAGCACAGCCTGTTCCTCTGTGAAAGCACTGGCCAGTTTTTCATATATCGTCCTGCAGCAGGAAAGTGAAAACTTACGCTGTAGCATTTGTTTTTAATAGGATATTAAGCTTTTGCTTAGGGAAAGGATGGCTGCTGAACACTAAACCATTACTCTGAGGGAAGCTGTTTCAACACCACAGCTCAGCTCTCTATCATCATGCTACTGGTTAGCACAACGGCAATCAAAGAGCTTTCAGAACTCTGGCAGAAACTAAACAATTAGGGTTAACAAGCAGCTCACCTAGACTTATCTAGTCTTGTATCAAATTGTATTACGTAAGTTCAAGTTGACAAAGATGGTAAGGAAGAGAAACTCACTTGCATTTGTTGAAAGCCTCCATAGCCGCTTTCCACTCCTGGTGTTCAAAGTGCAGCATTCCTGTGAGGTAAGCCATGTACGCCTGCAGACAGAGCACAAGTGGACAAGTTAATTGTTGTGAGCACAGTTCCATTCTGTGTGTCTGTTAACACTGATGCCACTACAAAAAAAATCCTAATTCAAGCAATGTTATCTATGAAAAACAGTTTTGATTTTACACTTACATGGCACAAGTTAACAGCATCACTATTTCACTGATAGTTACAAATTCCTGATGTGAGACGAAGACACGCCAGTTGGTCTATCTTGCAATCACTACTCACACACAGCTGTTGTCAGAAGATACTTCTGTAGCCCAGCAAAGGCCCACAAAAGCTACAAAATGGCAGGTTTAATCACACCTGAGCAGCTATTAGAGCTCCCTTCATAGGAGGCCAGTATCACAAAGCGATGATTGTTTCCTGTCTCCACTGGCCAGTAGGCAGTCACGTTACTTGTGATCCAGATATACAGTAGAAACTTAGAGTTACGAATCCCTTGGGAATAGAGGTTGTTCATAACTTTAAACAAAACGTTCAGGTTGTTCTTTCAAAAGTTTACAACTGAACATTGACTTAATATAGCTTTGAAACTTTACTACGCAGAAGAAAAATGCTGCTTTCCTTTTTTTAACGGTTTATGTTGACCACAGTACTGTACTGGACTTGCTGTGTTTTATCTCTGCTGCTGCTTGACTGGGTACTTCAGTTCCAAATGAGGTGTGGGGCTGACTGGTCAGTTTGTAATTCTGGTGTTCGTAACTCAGGTTCTACTATATATTTTAGGGCTCTGAAAAAACCGGTAGCTTACATCTGGTAAGAAATGTTGCTCAATCCTATGAGTTTTCAGAATGCTGCACTCAGCAAAACGACAGCACAGCTTTCTTTTCTGAAGTGAGTAAGGAGTGCAGTACCCTCATCCTCTCCCCTCATTCCTCCCATTTAAAAAAAAATAATCTTTGTTTAATCTTAATTTAAATTAAACTGAGGCAAGGGCCATTGCTTAATGTGTTTATACAGCACATGTACAGTTGGACCCTGATTCTGATTGAGATCTCAAGGCATTACTGTAAAGCTTCTAGTGCTACTGCTCAACCAACTGATTGGATTAGTTAGCAAGTCTAACTACACACACAGTAGAGCTCAATAACCGGTAAACTAAAATCATCCTGGACATTCTTAATTTGAAGTCAGAGCAGGCAATTTAGTGTCAGTTTACAAAGAAGGACCCTTTGTTCAACTAGAAACAAAAGGTTAGTTTATCCTTTCTTTGCCTCTGCTATAAAACAAAACTGAATGTTAGAAGTAACCTGAGCTTCCAGCTTAGTCTTGGCATCCACCCGATTGCTTTCACACAGGCGCTCCAGCTCCTCAGCATGTTTCACGGCTTTGCGCAGGCGAGAAAGCAAATGAAATCGCTTGCGGGGTTCTGTGTTGGCTTCCTGCTTAAGCTGCATTGCGTAGCTCCAGGCTCTCTCTGCATCCATCAGTATCAACAGCAAGTACCTATAGGACAGACGCAGGAAGGCTATAAATAAAATGAGTCAATTTTCCAGTAATTTTTTTTTGTTCCTTTTTATCACTCAATGAAAAAACCTTATGAATTATAGCTTTGTTTGCGCAAGCACCGGTGCCTTTGCCTGTATTTTTAAAGGTAACCGTGAGCAAGTAAACAAGGCCCCATTTTGTTGTTTATCTTATTCATTGTGTGTGTGGTTTTTGGGAGGGGGGTGAGAGAACCTGGATTTGTGCAGAAAATGGCCCAACTTGATTATCATGCACATTGTGTAGAGAGCTGTCACTTTGGATGGGCTATCACCAGCAGGAGAGTGAATTTGTGTGGGGGGGTGGAGGGTGAGAAAACCTGGATTTGTGCTGGAAATGGCCCAACTTGATGATCACTTTAGATAAGCTATACCAGCAGGACAGTGGGGTGGGAGGAGGTATTGTTTCATATTCTCTGTGTGTATATAAAGTCTGCTGCAGTTTCCACGGTATGCATCCGATGAAGTGAGCTGTAGCTCACGAAAGCTCATGCTCAAATAAATTGGTTAGTTTCTAAGGTGCCACAAGTACTCCTTTTCTTATTCATTGTGTGGCTGCTTGTTACTGAGATGTAACTACTGAAAGATGCCTTCAGGAATTCTAAAGCTGTGAAAGAAAATTTGGTATTAAGTCTCCGCTTTGCAGCATCACAAATTCCTGTGGAAGATGACTAAAAGTAGAATAGTCTCTTATTGCTTTTCTGGGTACATAATAAAAAATAATTTTCAACAACCAGATGCATTTTAGAACATTAACACAAACCAGATGGATAGAAACTCCATGGGCTAAAAAAATCCATATTTTCATCCCCCCCAAAGAGGAAAAAAAGATGAGAAAGCAGACAATCAACTGTTTCTAGCAGCTGGGAAATGAGCCCAAAGCTCTGGTGACCCTCCAGTTCTACCAGAAAAGACATTCTGGTGAATTTTGAAGGTACAAGTACAAACTGCAAACAAGTGTTCCTGTTCAAAGATAATGGATCATGTCCCCAATCTCATTCTTGCTGGTAACAGCACTTTAGTTGTCTATATTCAGATGGCTATTCTAAAGAAGTGCTGACAAAGCACTTCCCCTAAAAATATTTGAACTTTACTGCTCAAGAAACCAGCATCAATAGCAGTAGCTAGGGCCAGGCAGTGAGGGCAGGAATTATGTTTTCCCCTCACACTACACTATCAATGCCCCAGTTCCCTATATTATAGTCTGAACTTGGGTCTTTATTTTAGGTTTTAAAACTCTTAAAAAATTAAAAACTCTCCACAAAAGTAAGTGGTTTGAAACTGTGAACTAGGAGAACACCCAAACTGTTTTCATTTGTGACCTATGTGAAGATAAATTACCTCCAGGAGTGATTCACTAATGCACTGCTACCCAACAACAGATTCTCCCCATGCCGAATACCTGTTGTCAGAGAGAATCTCCTCAGTTACTTTCTTCCCTGTGAACTTGTGTCTATTTCCCATCTTGAAGCTAAGAGTTTTTCGGAGTCGTCTTAGCCTGCGGGAGCAATAACCCCTGCAAATAACCACAAAATAAAATCAGTCCTTTCAAAGAATGTGACTTGGCTCCTATGTATCCCTCTTCCATTGCCAACCTATATTGAATAATCAGAAAATGCTGGACAAAATGTACCTGGTATGACAATACATAAGTTTTTGGGAGTGAACGTTTCTAAACAATACAATACATAGCCAAGTTTAAGAAATGTAATAGGAGCATTAAACCTGAGATATGGCAGATGGTTAAAAAAGACAAGAAAAATGTAGCAATAAAGCAATATGTAAACAGACATGTCATGGCCACTGACTTGGACTAACTAAAAGAGTGATGCTCTCTGCATTCCAAATGATTTCTTAGAAGAGGTAATGTACACACAGACACGCACACACAAAAAACCAGTTTAAGACAAGTTCAGTGGCTATTAACAAGGTATTAGTGAGGTCATTAACGAAAATATGAGGGATCAAAAACCAAGCAACAAATTAACCCCAGTATTCTAATAATCTGATTAGTCAAAGAGCATTAATTTCATTTACAGACAATGGGGACATCCATTTACAGTAAGACCCCTACCAATAGCTCTTTATTTGGCAACTGGTTTTCAAAGTAATCATCTTTTGCTGCCTATGGCAGCAAACTGGCACATAAACATGCTCGGAGCTAAAACTGACTCGGCATGGTGATTTACACTAATCAAGGTAAGTATATTGCCTATTACATATAAAATGCCTTGGTGTTATTTGCTAACATACTAACCTGTATCTCTGGAAATCTCCGTGCCGTAAACCATGCTGCTGTTGGGATTCCTTAATAATCTGAAGGACTGGAATTCACATTAAGGAACATTTATGATTGTACAGAGTTTAGTTTAGGATAGAATGGCATACCAAGACCAATGGGAGAAGACAGAACTCTACAGGATTTTTTCTGACACACAAACATTAGAACAGATATTGGTCCGGTGCACAAGAGAGGAATTAGTGAAACCTTTCAACAAGAAATGCAAGAGCTGATTGGTCTGCAAAAATTCTCTCACCACCATATTTTATTTTTCAGAATTCTATGGATACAAATTAAGGCCAGGTCTACACCTAGGTCTGCCAGTACAGTTATACCAGCAAAACCCTTTTACTGTAGATGCAATTATACCAACACAATAGTGTTTGTCAGTATTCCAACACAGTGAGTGAAATGAGCTATACCAGCAAAAGCACTTATGCTGGTATAACAATGTCTACCCTACGGTTTTGTTGGTATAGCTATGCGGCCAAAAAAACAAAACAAAACAAAAAAAACTACATCTGACACAGCTATGCCAGCAAAATTTTAATTTTAGAATCATTGCTGAGTTTTATTGTTTGATCTCTCCTGAAAAGGATGTTACAGGCACTTTACTGAATGTATTATAATTGCTACATTGTGATTTCCTACAGCAGTCTTCACCAAGTGAACCATATCCTAAGTATACATATTCCTGTAAAAAGGATGGTAGGAATAATTTAAGGTTTAATTTTGCACTAAAAATTGGTTAAAAGAAAACTAGTAAAGCAAATTTAAAAAACAATTAAAATTAATATTACTTCCATAAATGTTTTGTGGGAGAACAATGTAACAGCATTTACATACCAATTCCTTTTTTCATGTAATGGTTTCCAGACAAGATTACGATCTTTAGCATAAACACTGACTGATTTTCTGGTGTGTCCGGTGTTTGCTTCACTCTCAAAAAACTTTCAATTAATGAATACTACACAAAAGAAACATGCACTGTACATTTTGGTGACCCTCATGGATTTTACTCATTCAATTTATTTAAATGATAATCAGTGTTTTTATTTTGGGGGAAAGACACATGCAGAAAACATCTAGCTCAAGAGAAGTGTTTTTGGACACAGAGTGCCTCACTTATATTTAAGAATCAATCTCCGCAATCTTTACATATACATCCTAAAATTACATTTCCTACAGCACCTATGAGCACTACTAATAGTGTCAAAACTAATACCAATTATAGTAGTTATGGAAGAAAATAATTAAATTTAAGTCCCTTTCATTCAGAGGTACTTTAAGATAAAGATGCTGCTTTTAAAGTACACCTAAAATACAGTGCTTGAACTACTTAACTATTAAAATTACATCACTAGCTAATATTTATAGAACAAAGGAGTCTTCATTTTGGAGCATGGGAAAGCTTTACAACAAATCAATTGTTTCTTCTAATTTTTCCTAATTCTAAGTATTTACCTTGAATTTTCTTTTAATTTATTTTAGATTGTTTAGTTATATAAATATTCATTATTGTATTATATTCGTAAGAGCTCTTTTACTTACAATTTTGTTGATTTGGGCATGCCTACCACCACTGATGTGACACTGGGACTGCCACTTTATCTACAAATGCTAAATTATATCACTATTGTCAGAAGTTAAGTTATGACTTGTGTCCTCATTTCAATTTGCATTTCTTCCTACTGCAAGATACAACTCAGTTTCGCAACAGCTGTGCAGCTAAGCTAGTTTCACACTAAAACGTCTCACAAGAAAAAGCCTACAGCTTTAATTAAAGTACCAACAGGTAAATCAACTTTATAAAAAACTACCTCACAGATCTCTTCAGTGATTGGACAGAATCCCAAGCTTCTGGTTAGTCTTCAGGTTGACACATGGCAATATGTATGAGGCTTCACTTAGCCAAAGTAATTCCTAGTTTTTCTATATTTTAGAAGCATCTTGTGCTCTCCGCATAGTGTGATAAAAAATACAGATGTGGATAAAAGGGACTTATGTGGATTACTATGTATTTTTAAAAAACTGTTGAAGTGCTATTTTGTTTACAAATTCAGAGAAACCGAATACTTTACTTTCCCCTGAGAACAATAATGATACTCCCATATAAAATACTTTATTTAAAACTACCCATTCTGATTAACTCCATTATAGTTATAACAACTGCCAGGAAAGATCCTCTGCTCTCCATAGCTTTTTGGGGAAGTTACATGCTACACGAAACATACCTATCACGCTAGGATGATAAAAACTGTAATTGCTAATGTTCCTGTCACTCACCTATTTTATCCACGATAACAAGTTCTCTTGGAGAAACCAAACATTAGTATTGAGTAAAATTCATATGCCACATGCCCATACACCAAGCAAATAAAATCTAGACTGGAATTTTCCATTTTTGAGGGTTAGTGATATTTGTTACACTGGCTGCAAGGGTGGTGTCAAGAGGATAAAATCATAGTTGACATCAAAGATGAAAAGCTTACATCCCGTTTTCTGCAGAAGCAGAGTGATGTTACCAGAAGCCTAATCCAGTGTCATCCAGTGTTTTTTTTAATGCTACTATACCAATTTATATTATTAAAACATCCCAGCAATACCAGTCAGTGCCTGACACCTCCCATTTGTTTCTCCATGTTCTAACCCATAACAAATCTCACACTACTCCTTACCTCATCTCAGAAATACTTCTATTTTGGATGAAAGAATATACAACTGAATGACAGCTCAGCAATGCCCAGCACAAGGGCCCATCAAAACAGGAATGAGAGCCTTAGAGTACCAAGAAATACCAGTAAAAGCAATATGCAAAGAATTACTTCAAACCTGAGGTCTAATATTCTGAATAGGATCCAATTTGTCTTTGCGTGGCGGACAGCTTCAGACTCTGGACAGGATGGCTATATATGCATAAAGCCATAAAAATGCTTCCATTATAGTGTACAATTGAAACCCTTCCCTTCCCACCTGCCAAGGCCAGTCTCCACTCTTTCCAAACTGACTAGTTAATGTAACTTAATTACAACACAGAAAGCTGCCCCTTTTAATAATCAGTGTGGAGGGAGCGTGAAAAAGAGAGAAAAGCTGCTTTCCGGTCCCTTTCCCCAGCATTTTTTCCAAAGCCACATGACTACACGCCGCCACGCCTTTGTTTCTCCCCTCTCCCGAATACCCCACCCTCGTCTGTTAACAGTGCAAAGCGAACACCCAAGGCAGATACAGCTGGGCTGCCTGTGGACACATTGGCGGGGAGCACGGAGCCACGCTAGGAATCCACCCGGCTCTGTAAAAAAAAAATCTCCGTTTTACAGAGCGCGCGCGCGTGTATGTGTGTATGGGGGAGGGGGTGTTTTCTGGGCTTCCCCGCCGCCCGGCCTGACTGACACGTCCTCACTCGCGGCCCCTCCGCCCGGCCGGCCCGGCAGGATACTCTCTAGGCCCAGGCTGTCCCCGAGGCTCCCCGCCTTCGGCCCCGCGGGCTTCTCATTCTCCTTGTTCTCCTCCGGGCCGGCCCCGGCCCCGCCACCGCCGCCGCCGCTTCCCCCGCGGCGGCCACCGCCGCCGGCCACCTGCCGCTCCGCCGCCATCTTGCGCCGCCGCCGCGCAGCATCATGGGCCGGGAGAGTAGAGCTGCGCGTGGAGGCCATGGCGCGGGGAGAGCTGGGATAGATGAGGACCCGGCAGGCCGGGGAGCTGGGGGCGGGCTCCAAGCTGCAATTTGAGCCCTTTCCGGCCTCGTTGTGAGAGCTGGGCCCGGCCCGCGGGCGGGGAAAGGGCTGCTGTCGTCACTGGAGGTGGGGCCGGTAGCCCCTCCTCCCCACTCCTTTGCAGGATCTGCCCCGCCCCTCACGCCCCGCCCCTGCCTTGGGTGGGGCTCACACACGCTGCCCCTCACCCCCAGTCCTGCCAGGGGCCTGAGCCCCAGGCTGATTGAAGCTCTGGTGACCATCACCCTGGTGTCTGGGCACCAAGCCCTGGAGGGCGCAGCGGATTGGCCTTGCCCGCCCCCTGGGCCTGAGTCCTGCGAGCGGGTGGGAACCTAAGCTGGACCCTGGCTGGTAGTCTAGCTGCACCTGTAACCCGCCAGGCCAACCCCCCGGGTGTGAATGCCCTGCGCTTTGCTGGGAGGGGAGGGTGAGAACCAGAGCCCAAATCCTGGCACTAGGGTTGCCAACCCTCCAGGATAGGCCTGGAGTCTCCCAGAATGGGCATCGATCTCCCGATGACTACTGAAAGCGATCTGGGAGATTTTAATCAGATATTTTTAAGAAAATGACATTACATCATGTTGGGGAAAAAGTCTCTCGGAATAGTTTCAATCAGAGTTGGCAACCCTACCTGGCACAAATGTTGCAGCTAACAGGCTGCGCCCCAACCTCAGGTGCCAACACCCCATAACTCCAGGGAGGAAGGGAGTCAGACTCCACACACAATCCCCAATTTGCATCTTGGGCCCATCTCTAGCTGATGTAGGGCCATACTGTAACCTCCCTCCCTTTGCGGAGCCCCCACAGGATGTGGAGAGAGAGCTCTGGAAACTGCTGGGATTTAATCCTTATCCTAGACATTGCCACTTTTCTACTTGCCAGTCATCCAGCCTCTTCCCAGTCCTCCTACATACTTGTTTTGTGAGCTGAAATAGTTGCCTCATTGCTTCTCCATTTCCTTTCAAATCACAGCTGAAAACACATCTCTGCTCTCCTTCCCACTGGTGCTGGCTTTATAGCTGGATGCTTTCATTTAAGCCATGTCTTCCCTACAAAAAAAGTGTGATTTTACACAAAGATTTCTATCTCAATGCAACATTCCAGTGGAGACAAGACACTAGATTTTACTTTGATGTAGGAAATGAGGTAAAGCACAGGTAGGAGATAAGGGTTGTTCCTGAAAGTGCAAACTACCTATGCCTTGTCTCCATTAGAATTTTACAGTGATAAATAAATTGAGGTAAAGACACACCTTTTCTGCAGCAAAGACAAAACCTTATTCACCATACACAGCATTTGCCCCCCTGCTTCCTGTAATTTATGTCATATGTGGCCTTGTATTATTTAACTGTTCAAATCATTGTAAAGTTATATATTGGACTAGGTGACCTACTGAGGTAGCTTCCAGTACTAAACTTCTATGATTGTTCAAAGTTGTACTTATTGTGTAGATTGCAGTATGGCTTAATCCAGGTGTTCAAAAATCATATGACAGGCCCTCAGAAATCATGACATTGGCTTACATTTTTTCAGATATTTTACAAATAGTACAGTGGAGGTTGTTTTTATTTGCCTGTTAATTTTATGGCCTTTTGGACACATCAGTGTCACATTTTCAAGCTTTTCTCTATGAGGGTTGGAAACTTAAAATGAAAGTTGAGAGGGAAGGATAGTACAGTGGTTAGGGTACTAGTCTAGGACATGGGATTCAGATTCAGAATCCCTGCTCTGCCATGGCTTTCTGAGTAACCTTGGGCAAGTCACTTAGTCTTTCTGTGCCTCAGTTCCCCACCTGTAAAATGGGGATAATAGCACTGCACTACTTCACAGGTGTGTTGTGAGGATACAGACTGAGGTGCTCAGATATTATGGTGATGAGGGCCAGCTAAATAGAGAGTGATTCTCATGTAAGACCAAGAGATGGGGTTTTAAGAAAAACACTTCTCATGAGTCTTGCAACGAAAGGGGAGAGAGTTGGTGCCAATTAAATTGGGTAAAACTCTTTAACTCTGTGTAATTATTCAAAAAATGTGCAATGAATGAAGCAATGTTCTCTCTTTATAAAGTGTGTATTGGCCCTAGCCTATTTTTGTGCACTGGACTGATATGCACACCTTATAAAGCATTATATACATGGCCTCATGCATTGTTAGGTCCTGATCCTGTAATTGCATGCATGTGGTTGGATCCCTGAGCCCATGCAGAGCCTCACTGGCTTCACTGGGTCTGCACATCTTCGCAAGCATCCACTTGTGTGCATGTACTTTCAGAAACACGGCTTTACAGTACGTGCAACGTGCAACAGGACCCATTCCAGGAGAACCTGTGCCTCTTCCCCTAGGCATGCAAAATACAACCCGCCTTCATTGCAAATAAATTCTAAAAACATCATACCAATTACAGTTTCAAATGCTCATAACTGAAAAATCAAACCCAATTTTCACTATACTGTATTCAAAAGCCACTTCTCAGCAGGGGCTGTTTTCTGTCAAATTTCATTTTTCTATATCCAGCTAGAGCAGTTTAAAAAAAATATTCACAATTCCCCCCTCCAAATGTTCTCATATGCAGAAATAGCTGCACCATTTTGGTTCCCTGGCCAACCGTGGAAAATTTCAGCCTTACAGCTGAAAGTTTTAGAAAATCATAAGCAACAGAAAACAAGAGGCTTAGAAAGGAAATGCTTGGGCAACTTTTAGCATGACATTGTATGTGTTTGTACCATCCCTAGCACGTTGGGGCCCCCAGGAGGTCTAGAGTCTCCAGACACTTCTGCAATATGGTTATTAATAAATACCAACTCTTGTTAATTAATTTAATAATAATAATTTAAGATAATAATAGAATTCAAACAGTTGTAATTAGTGCACCAGCTCTAATAAAACCAGCAGGTATTGTAATCCAAAGCTTGGAGGTTTCTGCCTCTTGTTTATGTCCTAGCAGGATATTTGCACAGGATGGTGATGTGATAAACTAATCTAATCAGCAGTTTATATTGTAATTCTTTCACTCTTCCAGAGGGCTAAATTAGGCTCGTTTATATCTGATTTTCTTTGACTCTTGCACCCTTTTGGGGACATGAGGGCCGAAGTGAAAAATCACAATTTGCATCTTTTCTTTCCATCTTAAGTTTTGACTTCAGTCTTCTTTTTAATATTCAGTGTGTTTCCACCTGCTCCTAAGTTTGAGATGAGACTCTCTGTATTGGAGTAGGTTTCTTTACCAAACATGTTTTTAAAGTGATGGTCATTTCAAGCAGAGAGGTGGGATTTGACTCAGCTAAAACACCTTTTACAAATGCTTGCTGTTTTCATTCATATATGTCTCATTAAGGCAGCTGAAGTCTATTACGTTGCAAATGAGATATGCAGAGCACAAACATCCTCTCTAGGCTTCTGTCAAGGGAGTTCACTCGAGTGGTAAAGAATTGGTGGAATTTAGCTCAAGCACATGTCTACCATGCCATTTCCCTCTTGATACTTAAAGTGCTTACGTTTGCCAGGGGCTTTGAATCTGCTCTGGAGTCTGTAAATCCTAAGGATAAAACTGTCACCAGTTGGTTCATTGCACAGATTCCATTTTTGGAAACCGGCACCTTTTCCATCCTCTGGGGCAGCCAGGGGTTGAAAGAGGGGATTTGATGTGATTTGACAACACTGCATTGTTGGTGGAGCTAGTGGGTCATGCATGGGATACAGGGACAGAAGGTGCAAGGAAATGGAAAACTGAGTCTACAAACCCAGCTTGGAAGTGCCTCAAAGTTGTTCTACCATCTGAGGGCTGCTAGTTGTCCTAGGCAAAATGACTTTGCTGGTTTCAGTTCAATTCCCCATGGGTAAGAATTTGCATCACGAATGGTGGGGTTTTTTTAGAGCTCCAGTGAAGGACCTAGGACTGAATAGGCTAAGGAGAATGAATTATCTTCTCGCTCCAAGAGGTGATTCTTCCAAGGGTCAGGATCTATACAACGAAAGACTTCGGTCTGCAGTACCGTCAATCCAGCCCTCAATTTGCACAAACATTTGTAAAGAAGCTTTGAAAAAGATCTCAATGTGTGTACACATAACTGCAAATGGTAAAGAGAAGAAACCCATGCAAGTCAATTTACAATTGCAATAGCCTGAGAAGGAACAGAGGGGCTAGCAAAATCAATAAAACAAACGATCAGTGTCTAGGAACAGGCTTTACAATGGAAAAGGGGGTTATTATTCATATTATAGTAGCACATAGTGGTAGTAGTAGTAAATTTACTACTAGTAGCTCAGGGCTCTGTTGTGCCAGATATTGTACAGACACATAGTGAGAAATAGTCTAAATAGAGGAGACAAAGTATTGTTCCCATTTTACAGATGGACAAGGAGGCACAGAGAGACTTAGTGACTTGTCCAAGGTCACACAGAAAGGCTGTAGTTGAGCTGGGAACTGATCACAGATCTCCTGAGTCCCAGTCCAGGGCCCTAACCAGCCCCCTTTTCTCTTGTTTTCAGTAGGATGTCGGTCTTGCATGGTCTAGTGGCAGCTGTCCATTTCTGAATCGGGGGCTCAGGCAGTTCCATGCTGCAAAGCTCTTTTGGCAAATTGATAGCTTTTCTCCCATGCATCCGATGAAGTGAGCTGTAGCTCACGAAAGCTTATGCTCAAATAAATTTGTTAGTCTCTAAAATGCCAGAGGTCCTCCTTTTCTTTTGGGGATACAGACTAACACGGCTGCTACTCTGAAACTTTTCTCCCAGAGTGACTTTCTTCTTCCCTGCTCTTTAGTGGAAAAGTGTTATCATCTTTGACAGCTGTTAGGATACAATTTTGATTCTAAATAAGACTCCAGCTGACTCCGGGCTCAATGGGAATTTATTAATCAAAGATTATTAGTCAAAGATTAACACTGCACAATACAGAAAGGAAGGTTATACGTTACCAAACTGATTCTGGAGAAGCATCTCTGCAGCTGGGTTCACTCCTAACTCTCAAAACCTCAGTTCCTTATATACCACAGGTGTATACAAAGAGAGAAATTCCTCTCCCACCACCCAATTACAAGTGGAAATTCCTTGATGGTACCTTAATTTACATGGCTGATAAACTAAAGATATTTCCAACCAAGTCATTATTACAGAAAATATATGTGACAACAAGAAATTCCTGATGAGTTAAAAACATTTCTTAATAGTTTATCATCTCATCAATTACAGAACACATTTGCAATCGCGAGTATCCCTCATCAATAACAAAGGCTCCTTTGTGGACATCTGGACATATTCTCCAGGGACCACTGGGATAAGAGTAAAAGATTAGACGCTTTCTATCATTTGGTCACACATTGAGGTTTAACCTAAGTTTAAAGCACCTAGAATTATAGACACAGAGCATCAGTACACTGTATATTCAGAGGATTGTGGGAGTTTCGGTTGGGTACTGTACAAAGAATCGTGGGTGTTTGGTATCTGCTAACATAGCTCGTTGCAGCATCCTTTTCCTAATCAGTAGAGCTGAGCGTATAATTCACAGCAAATACTGTATTCAACCCATTTAGCCTCTTTGTCTGTATGACCAGGAACAAAGTAGGATTTCCTACAATGTGTTTGTTCTCTGAATGCAGACGCAGGGCCTAGTGATTAACGCATAGGACTGGAGCCAGCAGATCCACACTACAACTGATTTGCCTCCGACTTTGTGCAAGTCACTTCATTGTTCTGTGCCTCAGTTTACTCATGTGCACAGAACCTCACAGGGTTGCTGTGAGGCTTACTTCGTTAATGCTCATAAAGCCCTTTGATCTCATTATGTGCGAAGTGGAAAGTATCAGTGATTATATTTTTTTGTATTACTACTGATCACTAATCCCAAGCCAAGCGAACATCAGCGAAGTGAAACATACTCAAAGAATTGATGGTGTTCTACGACGATAAGAAAATACTTTGGAAAGGTACCGAGGGGAAAAAATGCAATTTTGTAGCTGGTTGAGAGGAGAGGTGTTAAGGATTTGTTCCCACTGCGGATGGGTTTACGGATTTCCTCTTTATTGCTCAAAAGATGACAAAGCCAACAACTCTTCTGCAACCTGAAAGCCAGAATAGATCGCTTCGATGCAGGGACCATTTTCTGTGTGTGCAGTAGCCAGCAAAATGCAGCCCTCATGAGGCCTGGAGATGCTACCACAATAAAAGAAATAACAGTAGAAAAACTGGCCAGATATTATTCGCCTAATATTTATCGATATTGCATCCAGCTCCTGCAGTCTTTCCTTCACTCTTGCAAAACTCCCACTGACTTCAAGGTGGAAGGACAGGAGACTCTAGGATTTGCCTCTGCTGCGGTCTCAGAAGACAGGAGATACCTGGATCATAGAAACAAATCAATAGTCCAGCATCTAGCCGCTCTGTTGGATCCAGCCCGCAGAGCCTGTTCCACACGAGCTCTGCGCAGAGCTCTGACACGTGTGTCAGAGCAGCCCTTTGCAGAAGCAGAACGCCAGCCTGCCTGGGACAGCTACTGCCTGCCGGGGTAACAGGAGGCATTGTTGGACTAGGAACATTTCCCTTTACCCACAAGTTTTCCTTGGAGGAGAACTAAAGCAGCCCTTTGCCCCTCACAGGGGCACCCTCTGGACCCCCCTGACGTGTAGGCACGAAGGAACAGACCAGGGTTCTGGGGGCGGCCAGGAGGCCAGCCGTAGGTTTCCATAGACAGCATTAATTCTATTGCAGGGATTTGTCACCGGGGAAACCAGAGCCTGGCTCGGATCTATGCCGTTTTCCCCCCGGGTGCCGAGCCACACAGAGCGCTGGGCTGCGAGGAGGGAGGGGACAGATAATTAAATAAATAAAAACTGCCAAGAAGTTTACTCCCCCGCCCCCCGAGCGCTTTCAAGAGACCGCCGCGGTGCTCTCCAGCGAGAGAGGCAGCAGGCGGCGCGCGGAACCCGCTCCCGCGCCGGGCGAGAAGCCGAGCCGCGGGCGGGCGAGGGCGCGAAGCGGGGAGAACGGCTCCGGGGCCGCTCGGGCGGCGGGCAGCACCGCGAACTAAGCGAGGCTCCGCGGCGCGGATGAGGGCAGGGGCTGGAGCGGAGAGCGCCCGGGGGATGCCAGCGAGCAAGGCGCCCCACGCTACCCCCGGCCTGGGTCTGCCTCGCTGAGCAGCTGTGTCTGGGGAGGAGCCGGGGCCACCGCGGCGATGAACAGCTCGCTGGCCCAGCTCAACGCGTCCGGCGGCGAGGCCGGCTGGCAGCCCGAGTCCGTGCTCATCCCGCTGGCGTACTCGCTCATCTTCCTGCTGGGCACGGTGGGCAACTCGCTGGTGCTGGCCGTGCTGCTGCGGAACGGGCAGGTGAATAACACCACCAACCTCTTCATCCTCAACCTGGGCGTGGCCGACCTGTGCTTCATCGTGTGCTGCGTGCCCTTCCAAGCCACCATCTACACCCTGGAGGGCTGGGTCTTCGGGCCCTTCCTGTGCAAAGCCGTGCACTTCTTCATCTACCTGACCATGTACGCCAGCAGCTTCACCCTGGCCACCGTCTCCCTGGACAGGTAGGAAAGCGGAGAGGCCAGGGCAGCAGGGGGGCTGCCCTCCTTCCAGCCCCCCCCCCCTTGGCAAATAACTCTCAGCAACTTTCCTTGGTTACCTTCCAACCTGGCCAGCCAGCCAGAACCTCTCCCACTCTGCCCATAAGTTACCAGAGAGAGCTGGAGGGCAAAGGGAATCGGGGGCAGGAGGGGACTAGCAGCTGCACTGGAAGGGTTAGCAGAGGGGTGCAGTGTGGGAGCAGGAGGTGAGCTCCACAGTGGGACAGAAGGCTCTCAGGGCTTCTTGCAGGGGGGTAGGGGGGGGGCGGGTGTTCCTGGAAGTTGCAATGCCCCAGCAAGCTCGGGTCTTCGCATGGGTGGTGGAAAGAGGCAGCTTAGAGGAAATGGGACTGTGCTCTGCGGGGGGGGGGGGGGGGGGGATTAGGCACCCATAGACGGCTGAGCTGGGGATGCTACATTACCTGGGACCAGTTCCTGGCCCCAGCCCAGCTCAGAGTAGATGAATTCGCTAGGGGGACGGAGTGGAGGACCCCAAAGCATTCCCGTGGCTGAAGGAGAGAGACAGATGAAACCAGCAGCACTGTGCTTTTGGGAGCTCAGCCTGGCTGGCAGAGTTCAGAGTCATCACCCAAATTGTGGTCCACATGCAGGGCCAGAGTCTCTTCTCACGCGCCTGGGAGGAAAGCCGGAGTGGGTCCATTGACAGGAGAGGTGGTACATCAGTGTGAATGAGGGGAGAAGCACGACTGCTTTCCCTTGACTCAGCTCCCCAGAGGGGCCAGGAGGTTTTTCAGTGAAAGGGAAGGAGGGACATCAATGGAAAACGGTGTGGTTTAAGCAGAGTTCAGGTAGGGCCCAGTCTACACTTAAAGATTAGATTGACCTACCACTGTAGTGTAGACACTTGCTACAGCGACAGAAGGAGTTTTTCTCTGGCTGTAGTTAATCCACCCCCTGAGATGCAGTAGCTAGTCAATGGAAGAATTCTAGCGCTGTCTACACTGGGCTTAGGTCAGTTTAATAATGTCTCTCAGAGGTGTGTGTTTTTCACACCCCTTAGAGACGTAGCAAAGATGACCTACATTTTAGGTGCCAACTGGGCCTATGTTGCGGGTTTGCACCAATGTGACTATATAGGCTTTGTCTCCACTGCCAAAGAGTTGGGCTTTTACCTCAGGATAACGAAGGCGCATTAGCCAGCCTGCTGCAAAATCCTAGTGAAGACAAGGCACCTGTAGATTTTCCTGCAAGGGAAAGTAGGTGAGGTCAGCCATGAGCAGGGGGTGAGCTACAAGTGCCTTATTTCCACTAAGATTTTACAGCAGGATAGTGAACACTGCCCCCCACCACCTTTTTTGCACAGACATAGCCTTTAATTCGACCCTCTCACCCATGTGAAAACGACAACTGCCTCACCTTCTCTCGGATTTTAACTCAACGTAAAAACACACCTTTGGTTTTTGTTGTGAAGACATACCTGTGACATCAGGTCACACCTGTATGATTTTCTCTGAGAGCCACAGAGAGATACAGTGATGGGTAAATGGGTGAAGCATGCAGGTCAACCACATGAAAACCAAAGGGCAATATTAGCATGAAACGGGTCTCTCTCCCCTACAGAAGCTACAGTGGAGACATCCCCATCCCCAAGGAAAGCAGGGCATGAAAAGAGGAAGCTTGCTCATGTAAATAAGGGAGCGTGTTAATTAAACTGAAGAATTTAAATGGAGGTTTCGGAAGTGTACACTTCCTGAGTCTCCTGGGGGCATTGCCAGAGCTGCTTTTTAAGAGCAGACAACAAGAGAATGCTGGTGTAAAGCTAACAGCAGAGAAACTCCTGAGGGTCAGAGTGTGAATCCCTTATGCCTACCGATGAGCATTTACTTATCTGACAACAAGGTTACTTGTACATGTAACTGCTCACTATTGTAAGGAATGGGTTCACAATCTGGCCCTAGATGATCAGAAAGTTTTCAGTGTCTAGAATTGCTAAAAGATGACAAACTTGCTGGGAAACGTGTGGGAACAACAAGGAGGCTGGGGAAAGGATTTCAAAAGAAACCGGCAGCTAGATTCTGATTTCATGTACACCGACATACATTTGGAGAAAGCTATTTAGTTCACTGGAGCCAGTCTAGATTTATACTGATATAAGTGAGATCAAAATCTGTCCCTGATTGTTTTAACTCAAGGCTTTGGGAGATAAGGTGAGCAGGTTATCAAAACCAGAGAGAAAAACAAGCTATGACTGTCCGTGATCTTGGCATAGAGGCTCAGAAATAGATGTCATAATGTAAGCAGCAGCTCTTAGCTCATTTGAGGAATTACAGAAATCACACCTGCTTTCTAAATAGCATTTGATAAATGGCAAAGTAGGTAAATTTTTTAAAAAGAGTTACGAAAGTTAAACATTTCCACTCACCAACACCTTTTATTTGCATTACTTGAAAGAACATTTCTCTCTAACATACATTATTGAATACTATTATTATTAATTATTATTAATTATTATTATTAAAACGCCAGGTGATGATTCCAGGCTGGCCTGGGGGCACCTGACAATACTGTACATTAGAACGAATGCTGGTTTTCAATTAAAACTGTCATGTACAACAGCGAGGTTTGGAATTGGAATTCTCCCTAATGAAGGCAGCCTGCAGCGTTTGACATTTGTAATTGTGATTTGCTCCTGCTGATCTCTACCACCAATTCAGCATTCAAGAGGCTGAGAAGTAATTAATTTGCAATGAGAAAGATAACCGTGGCTCTTGAAACTTTTCTATTAGAATATTTTCTATTTAAAGTCAAAAGTACTCGGCGTTCAGGACTTCAAACCTGCAAGATCTGGGGATCTTAGAGCTGACTAGAAAGATGCCAAAAGCCCTTTTTGCAAACCGTTGGCAGGCCACTATAGAACAGAAGCCAGACAGAAAGTTGTCTTTTTTTTGCCTTTCACAAAATTGTATTTTATTTTTTATGTCTTATTTGTTTTGCAATAAATAATTGCTTTATGCAGCAGCCACTTGTCACCAAAGGAGCCGTAGAAGGGCAGGTATAATTCAGCTTGGCAGAATTCAGTTTTTATTTTTCTATAATTTTGACAGATAAGATCGCTGTTTATTTTTAAGCATTTTTTCTATTTTTAATCGATGTAAATTTTCACAGCTGTGGGAAATCAGAGGGCAGGAAGACAATTATTTAGTGACAGACTTTGAGATTCAAATATAAAAGTTTTGTAACCCAAATTGTCAACATCACATGTGGACATATAGAAAGTAAATAGCCTTGCGTCAAACTCTAATACGTTCTCAAGTAGCATTTTTCTTACTTTGCCTGTCTGTATATTTTGAGTATTATCAATGGAAGTATTTTTTCATCAGTTTGTGTATTTACAGTGGTGAAATCAATGGTTGATGACATTTACTGATAAAAAGCTAATCCTTCCAAGCCTACGTATATTGAAAGCAGGTGAAGGGCCTGATTCTCCTCTCCCACCAATGTAAAATCAGGAGTAACTCTATGGACGCCGGTGGAGTTACACCAGTGTAAAGCTTCTGAGAACTATGGGAAAAGAGAACTGAGCCCACAGGAGTTTGGCGTATAATCGGGAGATTACTAAACTGTCATTTAAATCTTTCCTCTGTGTGATCATCGTATTCCCGCTGTTCCTGACGATAGTTTTCAGAGGGAAAAGCAGTGGGAGCTGTGAATGAGATTAAAGGAAACTCACATCCTGTGCCTCTTGTTTACTATCTCTCACTAATCTCATCTTTCAATGACATTTCCAACGTGCCTATCTTCACAGTATTTCGGTGCCAGTCTTCTGATACAATAACCAAGTCAGTCCAAGACTAAGGATTCCAGAAATGAGGCTGGCATAAAATACCCTCAGAGTAGTACAAAATGGATCAACTCATTTCTTTCCATTTTCTGAGGCACCTCTCCCTTGTCAAATCCTGCCCCTCGATATATTTCCCTTCCAGTCTTGCATTTGACGCAAGCTACTTAGATTCAACACTCACTGGTGTGTTAGTAATGTACGAAACAAGGGACTCGATCAGTGACATCTCATTTGGGAGTGGAAGGTGCCCAGAACCTCACAGGAGGCACTCAGCTCTTTGCAGGATCAGACCCAAAATGTAAGAGGTGAAATGGTAGGAAATGGCAACGATTGTCTAGTAAAATTTTGCAAGCCAAAAAATTTATGAATTTCTTGCCATCCGCTGTGCTCTCTTCTCACCACAAGAGCATCAATATTATGTTGCAGTGACTCACTCTGGGGAACTAACCTTTTGGATGATACACGAAGGTCTGAGCTACACCTAAAATGTAGGTTGGCCTAGCTTTGTCGCTCAGGGATGTGAAAAATTAACCTCCTTCCCCCTCCCCCCCCTGCCCTGAGAAACATAGTTTTGCCGACCTAAGCCCTGGTATAGACACTGCTAGGTCAATGGAAGAATTCTTCTGTTGACTCAGTTGCCACCTCTCAAGCAGGTGGATTTACTACAGTGATGGAAAACCCCTTCCTGTCTGTCGCTGTAGCAAGTGTCTGCATTCCAGTGGCTCCTCTGTTGCTGTAGTGTTTGTAGTATAGACATACACTTCAGACACTTAGCATTTAAATGGTCATCATTGCAACAGCTGGAGGGGCTGAATTCTATAACCACAAAGAAGAGGCTAGAGGGTAGTTTCCACTTTTCTGGGTGTGCAGGCTTCCCTTAGTTGGTTTCAGTGGACATCAGTTTAAACAGGGGAGGCTTGAAAAACAGAGCTCTGAAAACTTCAGTTTCATGACTCTCCTCACCTCCCCCTTCTCCATAAAGGAAAGGTTAAATCCTGAAGAATGCAACTCTGGTTGCCAGTGAGAATCCAAAGGCTGCAGAATTGGGGGATTTTCTATACCTGTAGGGTTTGGGCTTCACCCTGCAATCGGAAAACAACCCTTACTCCAGCATACGGTCCCACAGGCTTGAGGGAAAAGGGCTGTGGGGTTGGGACTTTGATGGATCAGTTCCTCTCGAAATAGAAGCCCTCTAGAATCTTTCTCATGTTTTATCTGGAGACTGAAAAGGAGTACTTGTGGCACCTTAGAGACTAACCAATTTATTTGAGCATGAGCTTTCATGAGCTACAGCTCACTTCATCAGCTGTAGCTCACGAAAGCTCATGCTCAAATAAATTGGTTAGTCTCTAAGGTGCCACAAGTACTCCTTTTCTTTTTGCGAATACAGACTAACACGGCTGTTCCTCTGAAACCTATCTGGAGACTGTTTACCAGGTAATAACCATCAAGCGGAATTCACTAGTGGGCATAGACGGATGCTAAAAACATGTTTTAAAAGCTTGCTGTGAATTAGATGTGCATTTTAAAATTCATGCAGCTCAGGATTAGGGTAAAGCTATATGCAGAAGTCTCTAACCAGTTAGATCTCAGTCCTGCAATGCACTCAGTACCCTGACCTCCCATTGACCACCTAGTGCTGCCTGAACATCAATAGCTATTTGCACATCCTCCCCAGAACATTATACATAATAATCCTAGCTGATATCTTTGTGCCTGTGGTAAGACTGAATATACTTTGGGAGGTGTTTGATGGGTTTTGCAATGCAGGTCTATTAATTTATGCTAATTTATGGTTACAATTAATAACAATGAAAACCCCCCTTTAAAATGGTATATCAACCACATGTAATGACCGCCCAATAACCCCCTTCTCCCCCCAGGGAACAAAGCTGAAAGTCAGAGCCATTACTGCTTGAGCTGAAGGATTCTGCATGAGAGCTAGGAGCTGCAGAAAACTCACATCCTCTGTGGTTTGGGCCCAGGTGGAGATGGGGTGTTGGGGAAGGGGGAGATGTGTAATCTACAGGACAGCTGATTACACGTCATCATCTTGGCACTTCACAGGCTTGTTTTGAAATGGAGCTTCAGTGTGGGAGGTAGCCAAGAGTCGGCAGCATGCCCTGTTTCATGAGAAAAGGATAGGAACGCTGCATCTTTATTAGATGAAGTTCCTGCTCCTATTAAAGTCACTGGCAAAAACTCTCAGTGGCGTCAGTGGAAATGAAGTTTATAGTGCTGAAGGAAAAACCTTAACCCTGATTCCCAACTGTGTCACTCCAGTTTTAAGCCAGTGTAACTCCTCTGAAGTCAGTTACACCAGCATAGATTGCAGTAATGAAATGGGGAATCAGGCCCTTGTTCCCTCTCCCTGATGGAGAAAGAGAAATTCTTCTCCTTGAAAAAGTGATGGGTCATGCTCTTTCCCTGAGGACAGATCTGTTGGTAACCAGGAATTTTGCACCCTTAGTGCCAGGTGCAGACATCAGAGAGCTGACTGTTTGTGGCAAATAAAATGACTCTCCAGCCCATACACCGGTGCACCATCAACCATTGTTTCAGAGCCAATTCCCTGGGGAGGCTCTCTGACGGATGTGGAGCTGATGAGATATAAATATTTTACATCTCTTAAAGAGCCACATGGTCAAAAGACCAGAGCAACATGTGCCTACAAACAACAGCAGTTGCATGTGCATAAAACAGGTCACTGCATTCACAAGTACAAATGTGCATTTTTGCAGCTGCATTTTCAAGGGAGCACCAGTCGCTGAAAGCACAGCCCTTTGAGTCTGCTGCTTTTACTATGTCATTGTCATATACAGAGATGGGCCAAACCAGAAGTTCAAATTTAAGTCCCTTTGGATTTTGTGGATGGTGGCATTTCAGAAACTGAAATCTCTTCAACCCTATGGCTTTGGTTCCAGTTGAATCCCAAATGAAGGAACCCTATTTTCTAGTTCTGTTCTTGATGTAACCAAGATCTCATTAGAATAAGCTTAGGTATCCAACCAAGGTGACTGAGCTGGTAAGTGGGTGAGCTTGCAAGATTCTGACATTTTGGAAACCGCAGCTTCTAAGATGTAGGTGCCATTTAATCCAAACCAGATTCTTAGCCCTAATTCAGCCTTAAACTGAGATCACACCCTAAAAATGATTTGGATCTGAGCTCAGCCGCCATGGCCCATATGTTGTTATTATATAAAATGTAAAAGATATGGTGAAAATCAGTGACAAAGAGAAGTTTGAGTTACCATCTCCTCTCTACCAGCCTGGTCAGGCACATTGTCTACATGGAGATTTGACACCAGGCCAGGATGTGACGCTACAGCATCCTAACTAGCTAGCCTTGCACTAATTGTCTGTTTCAACCCAGCTACCATGCACTAAAAGTTTGAGACAGCAATACATTAAAGCACACCATGGAACTTTTAGTGTGTGGTAGCAGGGTCCGCCTGGCCAGTTAGCACGTGGCAGGCTAGTGTGCTGTAGACACCCTGGAGTGTCTTGCACAAAGGTTCTGTGGAGACAAGCCCTTGGAAATGGGACAATTAGTTAAACAAGAAATTACATTAGAAGTGCAAAGTTTTTCATTTTAACTCTTTTTCTCCTTCTGTTCTCCCCATGTAGCTGGCCTGATGATGTTTTCTCCGTTTTAAATAGAACTGTAGTTTTGTTCTGTTCTCTCCCTTGCAGGTATTTGGCCATTAGATACCCTTTGCATTCTAGAGAACTCAGAACCCCTCGGAATGCGCTCACAGCCATTTGCCTCATCTGGGGTCTTTCCATTATTTTCTCCGGCCCGTATCTCAGTTACTACCAGGAGTTCCAGATGGCCAACCTGACCGTCTGCCATCCCATCTGGAAGATCTCCCAACGCAAGATCATGGACATCTGCACCTTCATCTTCAGCTATGTCATCCCAGTGCTGATCCTTAGCCTCACCTACATGAGGACTATCCGTTACCTCTGGACATCCGTGGACCCCATTGAAGATATGTCCGAATCCAAGAAGGCCAAGCGCAAGGTCACCAGGATGATCATCATTGTAGCGGTCCTCTTCTGTCTCTGCTGGTTGCCCCATCACCTGATCATCCTGTGCGTCTGGTTCGGCTATTTTCCTTTCAACCACGCCACCTACGTGCTCAGGATCCTCTCGCACCTGATCTCGTACTCCAACTCCTGCGTCAACCCCATCGTTTATGCCCTGGTCTCCAAGCATTTCCGCAAGGGCTTCAAGAAGATCTTCAACTGCCTCTTGCACAAGAAGGTGGCCAATAAGGTACATGTGGTACAGGTAACCAACACTGTCAGCACCCTGGAGGCGGATCTGACTGAAGTGACACATATCAACGAGCTCCCACCTGCCAGGTCCTTCACCAGCTGTCAGATCCCAGACCATCCATGGGGGGAGACGGAGCAGCTAGGGCGCCAGCAGAAAGTAGCCAACTCCTTCATCACCTTCAATGTCACCTAGTGGAACTTCTTTCCTACTGGCTTTAAAAAAAAAAAAATCTTCTGACTCTAGGGCAGTGTCACGTGGACCCAGGTAGGACTGAACTTTAGCTTTAATGTACTGCTCACAGGAATCTCAGCCTTTAAAATGCTGATGCTTTCTAGTCTCTCAGCCACATGAATGCTTAAGACGGCTATGTGGAATGTGGTTTCATTGCCCTCCTCTTGGCATCATCACGTAGCTCCAGCAATCAAAACCTACTTTCCCCAAACCAGTTCCTACATGTACTAGTATGTGGCCCTCCACTTTATGATAATGGTCAGTCAGTGTGTGTGTGTGTGTGTGGGGGGGGGGATGGTGCCGGAGGGGGTTAGATTGGAAGCAAATTATTTTATTTCCTTTGAGAACGAATTTTGCACCTTTGAAAGTCTTACAGAGCCACTTGGCTGCAGGAGAAAGACTTGTGGGAGACCTTTAGAGCTCCCCTCACTAGAACATTCTCTCCAGATTGTTCTGCACTTCTAAAGAAAAAAATCCTGCTTCGGTGCAGGTGGCCGACTGGGGAAGCTCGTTGCTGCGCTGGTAAAAGTCATTCCATTATAACAGCCAAAAAAGGGGAGTGGCTTGTTCAGTGACCCTTCTGCTGTCACACAGGAGTCTCCAAAAGGGATGAGTGGGGGGACAGGTTTCAGAGGGTTTGTATATAAAGGTGCAGGAAGGAAGCTCAGTTCTCACAGGTTCTCTGTGATGTCACCTTTTTGCATTTATAACAGGAGTCTGTTGCAATGGAAATGACGGTGATGTCACAAATGCAGCATTATGAGGCGGGTTCTTCGGTGCCATGCCCCTGGTGTGGTCACTTGCACCAGTGCATGCAAAGTGCATGTAAACAGCAGCCAGCCTGATTAGTGTAAACAGCAATGCAAGGTATGGGTGGAGAAGTTGTCACAGTGGGATTGACAGGGAGGAGAACATGTGTGGAAGGACAAGTGGGTTGAAACACAAAGTGCTCTTGTCTCCTCCTACAAGCAGAAAGGGGCCAGTTAAGTTGGAACCTGGGCAGGGGGCACAAAAGGGAAGATTTCAAATAGGATTGCACTAGCGTAACAAACGAGAATTTGACCAACTCCCTTTGGCATCATATTGGGTCTGCAGGTTCTTCAGACCCAACCGAATGATTGTACTCACATTTGGAACTCTAAAGGCCAGATTCTTTGGAGTGACTCCACTGAAACCAGTGAAGTTCCTTGGCTGAAAAGAAGAGCAGAATCCGGCTTGTTATGCTCCCACTCCCTGAATGTTTAAATGCCTGTCACTTGCTTTGCACACCTGCCCTGACTGCTACACACACTCATGTTACACCACATTGGTTGTTACACTGCCATTTTGTGAGCAACTTCCACCATTAATCTCACTGCAAATCCCGTGGAAGTCATGCCCCCTGACTCCAGGCTGCATTTAGCTGAATTAGGTTCGGTGTCCGGGAAGACCCTTTGAACCCCATGTGACACCTGTGTAAGTGTCTAGTTGCTACTGCTGAGTACTTGAGCAGAGTCACTGGAACCATTTTTATAGCTGGGGCCTTGAGAGTCATTGAACCAAACTGCAAACCCCTTTATATGACGGAAGCCAGGCATTGGGTTGCTATTAGTGCTTCAAGCCAGGTGAAATTGCTTCACCCTACTTCCCTTCCAGCACCCCTGGACATGATTCAGGCTCCAAATTGAGATGTTTCTTTCCCTCACCTTCAAGGTCTTTCACGGTTCTGCCCCTCCCCCTTATTTCACTCATCCCCCTTCCTGACGACAGCCTCAGCCAGCCACTTGTCAGCTTCTCACACAAACATCATCTCACTGCCCCTCCTCTGGAATTCCTGCCCTAAACTGACCTGAAAGGCCCTCCCCCCCCACCCCCACCCCCCGCCTTAACCCTCCTCCTTCAAACCCCTCCTCCACCAGAATCAACCAGCCAGTCTAGGCTGAGGCATAGCTAAGAAAAGTTGGCATTTTATCTACCATAATACAAACAAACAGTTACCAATGTATATTACAATTCTCTGTATTTGATTGTATTGCATACATCACTGTGTTATTAGCTTGTAAGATCACTGGGGTCAGAGAACATGTCTTCATATATGTGTGTACCGAGTCAAGCACAATGGGGCCCTGATCCTGATCAGAGCTTTCAGGTGCCATTACAACACAAATGTTAAATAGTATTAAGAAGAAGGTGAATGTTTCAAGTGTATCCCTGTGGCTTGGGCCACTTTGGACATGTGGCTAGCCCAGTCACATTGTTCCCATCCTTATCCCTGACTGCCTAAGTTCTAGCCATGTGTCCCCTTTTTCCACAGAACGACAAAGCCAGCCACCATTTTGAAGATCATTGCCATATATATCAGAGGTGGGTCTGAAACAATCCTCTAGGTACAAACACCCCTAATAAAGTTGGCATGTCTGGACCGGGAATGAAATCTTGGGGTGTGAGTTTAGTCTTCCTGGCAGGTGACAGTGTGAACACCTGCAAAGGAAGGTGGACCAGGGAAACTGATTTTTAGCGGCATGGGTTAGCCAGGTGCTGCTACTGAGGGACAGTCTGCCACTGATGAGATTAGCTGTGCTAATCAGATGCGGGATCATGGGGACTTTTATGTCATATAAGTGGAGCTGTGATTCTCACCTAATGTATATATCTGTACTTACCACCCTGGTCTGCTTCATATTAGCACCTTTAATTGCAATGTGTTTCAAAGTGCTTTGCAGAATGTCCAGAGCGATCACTTTCTATGTGCCATTGAAATGGTGGAATACAACAGCAGCCCTACACGAGACATCTTAGGAGGCAAATGAAGAATTACATATCCAGTTGAACTTAATGGGCATATAAATCACCTATCTTGACCAAAGCACCTGGGTTGATGCCAAAAAGAACCATGGGATTTTAATTGCCACAGACGATCAGGACATGAGCTTGACATCTCATCCAAGAGAAGGCACCTTCAGTAGCTCGCCAGCCTGGGGCATCGGCTCAGTACCGGCTCACCTAGAAGAGCGCCACCCACTGCATCACCATTCTTCTGCAGCATCTGAGTGCCCCTTGGAGAGCTTCTATGTTAATACTGACTCCGCCATGTAGTGTAGCCAGCACTGTATTCCATGAATGCTTAGTCCTGACCCTGTGTTGTGACACTAGGCCAGTGATACTCAGACCTCAGTGGTTCAGGAGCCAAATGATCAACATTACCCAAAAGAGCCACAGTCGTGTGAATTCATTGTTCCATTTACTATAGTACAGTCTAGTCATGTTTAAATGGTATGACAGGGGAAATCTATATTATTCTCACAGCAAAATGACTGACCAAACATTATTATTTTATCAACTACAATTAGTTAATAGCATAGTAAAAGCATCCTGACTGGTTAATAACTTGGATTGGTTATCAATGAAATCACACAGTGTTTTAATACCATGTGCTGCAAAGAGCCTCAGGAGACACGTTAAAGAGCCACTTTTGGTTCGTGAGCCGCAGTCTGGGTATCATTGCATTAGGCAGCATGGGCTGCAGTAACCAGCATGGGAGCTGGAGAGCCAGAGCAAACCCCAGGGTCTGCCTGGGTCCAGCTGCCTCAATAAAGAACCACCTTTATATTCATTACAGCCGAGTCCTGTCTCCTTTCACCCAGAGAGATTCTACAGGTGAGATGCTGCTTAGCATCCGACAATCCGACAGAGGTGATAAAGCAGCTGTTGGGGGGTGGGGAGTTGTTTTTCTTTTGTTCATTGCAGGACCCTGAGTAGAACCTAGTTCTGTTGATAACGAGGCCATGCCCTCTGGAGGATTGGGGGTTTTCTCTTCATCTGCCCCCCAAATAGGCATGTGCTAGGACTCCAGACCACACTTTATGTCTAAGAGATGCTGTGATGAGCGCAGTAGGACATACTGCAGGAGAAGTCAGCCAGACGTACACTGCAATATTTGGTGTGTGTCCCCGCACACCTTTGAACACAGTTGACCAATTTTAGCCCTGTTGCAAGAGGGAGTTGCATATACTCACACCAGGCTGAGTCTGACTCAGGCTCCGTGCTCTTGGAACGAAGGGCTCTGTGAATGGTTTTATAATTACAGCTGCGCCCAGTCTGTGGAGAGTGGTTGAGTGCTCTGTTTGGAAACTATTATTATGTCCACTCTGGGATTTGACATTAGCAGCGCTTAAAAACACAAACCCACATGCTTCACCGCGCAGAGGTACGAGACCACGAAAGCCATACAGAATCCTCCTGAAGAACCTATTCTGCATTACAACTGGGAGGGAAATGGGTTGCCCTTCCCACAAGAATTTGAGATTTTGACTTTTTTCCCGTCCCAAAACAGGACAAAAAGACAAAAATCTTGAAAATTTTCAAGAACCAATAATCTGAAGGAAAAAAAAAGTGGCTCGGGTCAACTGAAATGCTTCCTTTAGATAATTTCAAACCATTTTGATTTTGCCCTTAAATTTGGGAATAAAGAGTCATTTCAGATTTTAAAACTCCAAACTTTTTGTTTTGAAAATGTTGAAACAGGATGTTTTGACAATGTCTGAACTTTTTGTCCACATTTTTTTTTCTTCGAATCAGGAGATTTGGGGAAGCCGACCCTTCCTTGCGAACAGTTTTGGTTTTGATGAATTAACATCTTCCCATGGAAAAAAAAAAGTTTGTCGGAAAGTTTCCAGCCTGCTCTACTCTTCATCCATTCCCATCCCTAAGAGCCAAAACACTTTGCTCCTTTGTTACTGCGTCCAATAACAGTCACATTTCAGCCCAGATCTCAAGCCCTTTGAGTCTGCCAGACCCTTATCTGATACATGGATTATACCAAAGCTTCTGGGACTGGATTTCTTTTTAAATGCGTTTGGCACAGTTGTGGATGCTAGATGCATAAGTCTTTAATAATTATAACCATGTTAAGCCCCGGATCTGCTCACTTGGCCCTGGTCTGTTATATAAATCAGTTCATGTTCAAAGGAACCAGAAGTAGCAGTAAATGGGCTTTGCAGATTTTTCAGGGGCTCCATCCTTGCGGCCACATCCTGAAGTCTTCACTAAGGCAACCCTCAATCAACCAT